TTTACCAGTGGCATTGCACAATGTGAACTGGAACAGGCTCCAGACGTGGCTGCAGGTGGGGATGGAAATGCAGCTACTGCTGAAATGAGCTCAGTTTGTCAGAGCATGCTGCCAGTAATGCCAAGGTCGTGGGGTTGGACTCGATGATCCTTGTGGGTCCCTTCCAACAGAGAATATTCTGTCATTTTGTAATTCTGTATATCTGTAACTACCCAGACCAGAGCGGTGCTATGGCTCCTAGACATTAATTTAGGAAGTGATGGCTACCAGCTCAATCACATACAGGAATTAATATTTTGGACAAAATCATTGCAACCTTCCTGCTCTTAGCAAAGGGAGTATGTTTGGGTTTAAATTAGACCTAAGGGTTGTGATGGGGAATGGACAGAGTGATGCTCACACCTGTGACCTGGCACAGTTGTGAAATCGATTCCTGCCCAGATTAATGAGCACAAACCAGGGCATTTTAGGTGATTTTGATTCTACAGAGAAAAATCTTTTCCAAACTAAGCACCCCTCAGACACCTCCTCATTCACTTGTTAAGGCAAATAACTTGATTTTAGTCTTCAGGTTTCTGAAAAGAAGGAACAGAACAGTTTTTCATGGTCCCCTCATTTTTCTTTTGGTCAGGAATCGATTTCACAGCTGTGCCCAGTCACAAGTGTGAGCATCAGTTTGCTATTCACCATCACAACCCTTAGGTCTAATTTAAACCCAAACATACTCCCTTTGCTAAGAGCAGGAAGGTTGGAGTGTGTCAGCTTTGGTTAAGACTGAACAATTTGATTTAAAAGAAAACCTTCAGGAACTAAAGCAAAGACCTGCCTGTGTCCCAAAACAATAAAAGTGATCCATAGGTCTGAATCAGCACACCCACACTAAAATACCATTTATCACAGACATGCCAAAGAACAGCTGACAGTGGGAGCCTGTGCAGATGGAATAAAAGTTTTTGCCTTTTACTGTAGGTCAGCATTTAAATCTAAATCCTTTCTAAGCCTGGCTCCTTTCCCATGACCTCCAAAATCCGGGTACAGCACATTGTTACTTTGTACAGGTTATCACATTGTGAAAAAAAAACCAACCAAACCCCAAAACCAAACAAGGAACAATAAAAAACCCTAATGAAAGCACCACAATGATTAACAGTGGGAAATAAATTCTGAATTTCTCAATTAAACATAAAAAAAAGGATTCGCAGATATTCGCCCCTCTGTGTGAAACACCTGGCCTGGGCACAACTGTGAATTACCCAAGATTAGAACAAAAACTTGATTTCAGAGTGGTCTATTTTAATTTTTCTCAGTGTAACCAACTAAAGTGAGCAAGATGGTTCAGGAGTTTCAGTATCTTACAAACCCATCAGTAACTCTTCCATGCAGATAGGCAGGTGCAAAGAACGCCACCAGAGTCAAGAGAATTTGCAGCAATGCTTCTCCTCACCTTGTCCTCCTCCACTACAGGGGAGTCACTTCATTCTTACAGCTGTAATTCTCATTTTTATTTGTGTCATTCTCAACACCTGAGCAGTCTGGAGTCCCAGCACCAGCTCAGCCTCCTGTTAATAGGATCACACAACATGTGGGATCCCTTCTGGCTGGCTCTCAATCCCCACTCAAGATGACCCAGGCTTAAAGTTTAATCTAATTATGATTTGAACCATCCTCAGAGGCTGCCAATGTGCAGGTGACACCAGATCTTAAAGGCTCCAAGGGGAAATACCCTTTCAGCTCCAGTGAGAGAACTCAAAATCCCCCATCAAACACATCCAAAGCTGCTTTGCTGACACAAGTTCTAAAAACCAGGACATGGGCAAGAAGGGAAAAATCTGTCTCTGTCTTTCAGCCAAATGGGTGTTAAAAAAATAGGAAAGAACCAGGCCTGCAGGAAATACAAACTGATTTAGTAGTTCTGTAGGAGGGCTGGGTTCTTGTGACATGCACTGAACAGACCTGTACTGAAGGCTCCAATCTGGAAGCTGAAAACTTGGTTCTGTACCAACATCACAGCAGGACTGGGGGGATTAGTCTGAATTAAATGCTTTGAAAAATGAAAAGCATGAGGTAAATACTGAGTATTATTAAAACCCTAAAGATACTTGACAGAATAATTATTATTCATGTGAGATTACTGTGAAAATATTGGTTTATTTAAGAATTAACTGAAGTGTGTATTAGGAAAGGGAACCACTGATAAGCCAAAAAAACAGAAGTCCTACAGAAAAAAAAATTGTACAAAAAAGTATAAGTAACAAACCAAGCTACTTCCATACCAGACTGAGTGATGGAGACAACGTCCAAGAAAGATTCTTAAGCAATTTTGGTTCTTCAATCTAGCTAAGTTTAAGACAGAGCAAAGAGATTTAGTCCCATGGAAGTAAATGATTTCTTTGACTTTTAGTTGGTGAAGAACAGGGACATTTTTGGTCCTGGGCTGTTTTAATCACTTGTCATTTGTGTCTCCATCATCTCCAGATGAGGTTTGGGCAACTTCTCCTAGAGCTATTTTGTGTGGAAACAGCTCAAAGCCAAAACTTGCAGCTGCTCTACAATGCCCCTGTCTACACCTGGTGCCAGCTCTCAACATCCTGCCACCCGAAAATACCAAAAATAAAGCTCTAAGAGAGGGAAGAATACAAAACCAACAAAACCTTGCCTTCCCAAATGTCCTTGGCAGAGCAGCTAAGGCCAGAACTCCTTCAGATGCAATGTGAAATGTGTGGCCTCCAGAAGAACACAACACCTTTCCACATGGAATTCTGCACTCTAGAAGATATGCAGGGGCATTTCTAAAAGTTTCTTAACAATCCAAACCCCTGGTCACACACAGGCATGTAAAAGGCAGGGTACCAAACTGTACCTGCCAAAGGGAGCATCCTGCTGAAATCCCTGAGAGAAAATCCTTGAAATTTACATGGTGAAAATGTCATTTCTTCATTCAGAAACTTACTCAAGGTGGTGACCTTTTTTCTCCAAAAGCCTTGTATTGCACCTTCTAGAGTTGTCAGGAAGTACCTGTGTGGTTTTTTTAACGTGTGCATCATACTTTACCTACAACAGTAAAATTTTCCAGCCTCAGCAGATTTTGTTCCACTGCCTGCACTATGAACAAAACCCACAACAGCTAAAAAGGGCTCTAACCTTTGCAAACCTTTTGGTCCTGCACTCTGTTCATGCTTCTAAAGCAGGAAAGTGGTTTGCTGCACGTGACAATAGCTCCTCTGTACTTTAGATAGGAAATTCCTGTTATCAATGGCAGCTTTTGAAAAATTCATCCTTGCAGAAAAGCTGAAGTTCAGTGAGCTTACGTTATTTGAGAAAGAGCTTTGAAGTGTCTATTTCTAATCCTCCACTCTGAATGACAAAGAAGTTATTTGCAATTGTGAATCTTTAAAATGCAGATCTGAACTGATGTCTGTTTTTGTAACTCATTAACACAAACCCTGCTATTCAGCTTTTACTGAACATCTTTTTTCCATTCCAAAGTGAAGCACTAGTGCTGTCTCTTAAGATGATTATGCTCTTGGTGAGCCAGTGTTTCCACATGCATATTCTGAGACCCAACAGAAATTACATTTTCAAAGACATCAGAAATAACATTTTCTTTATCTGCTATTACAAAGTGACAGCCACAGCCCAGGATCTCTTATTGTTCATGTATTTTACAAGTCTGAAAATGGATGGCAATAGGATTCGCAGCTGGCAGAATGTCTCCAAAGAAGAGTTTTTCTATCAAATTTTACACAAAAGCAGAAATGAGGCTCTGGGCCCCGGATCCCACATGATCCAGCAGATGCTGTTTCCAGCTTCAGCAAGTTTTCATTCAGAAGCAACTGCCTCCATGTTCAACAATGCCCCATGGATCACACAAGATCCTGTTAGCCTGTATAAATGAGAGGCCTGGTTTAGAATTACAGCAAAAATATAATAAAACACTGCACTATCACCATTTCCTATCTCAAAGGGGTGCACATGTAGAAGTCATGATGATCCTACCTGGAAAGGACTGTAGTTAACTGCATATTCCCAAAAATGTATGAATTTTTATTGCACTATTCATGTTGTAGTAAAATCTGTATTAGAAAACTCATCTGTGCATCTTCCCCTTGACATCTCTGAAGTTAGAAAGATGCAAATTATTGGTTCAAGAACAGCTTGAAAATGAACCTGCAGCTTCTATTTTGGCTCCAGTGAAGTCAGAGGGATCTTTTTCACTTCTGCTTTGGCACCTGACACTGCCTCCAATAGCCCATGGGAAGAAGGAGCCACATGGAAAGGCCAATCCTGTAACTCGCACCTGCTCAAAATGGCAAAACCAGAGGTGGAGGCGTCGATGTTGGCTCCCAGCCATCAGACACGTGGCACAGCTTTGGCACATGGAGCCTGGCTGCAAAGAGTGACCCCTTAAAGATGCTCTGGGAGCTCCACCCTCAGCAGTGACCCCTCAAGCCACTGTGGGAGCCCCACTGTGATCTCCTAAAGCTGCTGTGGGGACCCCACTAAAAGAAATGACCCTCTGAAGCTGCTGTGGAACCCCACTGTAAGGATTGATGCCCTAAAGCTGCCATGGGAGCTGCACCATGACCTTCTAAAGGTGCTGCAGGAGCCCCACCACAAACAGTGACCCCTCTCACAAAAAGTGAGACCCCAGACCCCTGCGGGAGGAGCAGCAGCCCAGCACCTCCACCCCAACACCCGCATCCATCACCCCGCAGGTCCTGCTGCTCCTTGTGTCCTGCCCAGGCAACCCAAACTGCACACACCCCCTTGGGCTGGATGGAACCGCATTATGGAGCTGGGCACAGCCTCCCCTATCCCTTCCCTGCGCACAGTCCGTCCGTCCGTCCGTCCATCCATCCATCCATCCATGCATCCATCCATCCATCCATCCATCCATCCGCCCATCCCACGCGCACCCGCGGGCGGGGAGCAGCGCGGGGCGGCGGCGGGCGGTCCCCGCGGGGCGGGCGGGCTCTGTCGCGACTCTCGGCGACACTCACCTCCTGAAGTCAAAGGGCATGGTGCTGGCGGTGCTGGTGGCGGGCGGGCTGCGGGCGCCGCCGCCCCCGGCCCCGGCTGTGGCCTCGCTGCCGGCGGCTGCAGGGCCAGGAAGTGACGGCCCCGGCCCCGGCCCCGGCGCCGCGCAGCCCCAGCCCATTGGGCGGCCGGGCCGGCCGGGGCTTCCGCCGCCGGGTTACGGATCGGCGGCACCGCGCTCAGGGATCCGGGATCCGGGATGCGGGGTGAGGGATGCGGGATGCGGGATGCGGGCGGCCCCAAGCCCCGCGGGGCTCCCGCACTTTGCGGGGTCCGCTCGGCGCTCGCCGTGCTCCGCTCAGCCCCGCGGCTCTCAGGGCGCTGGCAGCACGGAATTACGGAGTTATTTCGGTTGGAAGAGAGATCTAGGATCAGCGAGTCCCAGCTCCAGCTCCCTCAGCCTCTCCTGGGGCTCCAGACTGGAGTGTGGAGGTGTTTCAGGCTTTGTCCAGCATCTTTGGCACTCAGCATCGCAGGAATACCAGCGTGTGTCAGGGGCTGTGTCTGCAGACAGGGCAAGGTCCCTCCAAGTGCCTTCAAAGGAAGGAAAAGCACACACTCCTCCATCCCTGGGCACCCTTTAAGTTTAGCTTAAATATTAGGAAGAAATTCTTCCCTGTGAGGGTGGGCAGGCCCTGGCACAGGGTGCCCAGAGCAGCTGTGGCTGCCCCTGGATCCCTGGCAGTGCCCAAGGCCAGGCTGGACAGGGCTGGGAGTGCCTTCAAAGGAAGGAAAAGCACACACTCCTCCATCCCTGGGCACCCTTTAAGTTTAGCTTAAATATTAGGAAGAAATTCTTCCCTGTGAGGGTGGGCAGGCCCTGGCACAGGGTGCCCAGAGCAGCTGTGGCTGCCCCTGGATCCCTGGCAGTGCCCAATTCCAGGCTGGACAGGGCTGGGAGCACCTGGGACAGAGGAAGCTGTCCCTGCCATGGCAGGAGTGGCACTGGATGATCTTCAAGCTCCCTTCCAACCCAAACCATTCCATGATTCTATGATAAGCTCCTTTAAGGGCCAGCACAGCTCTTTCACCTGCTCTTGGAAATCTTTTTTTTTTGGTGCAATTTTACTGGAGACAAGGGATTAAAGTTAGAGAAAGCTCCCCATTCGTTAGATGAGGCATTTCCCCAGTCTTTTCATTTTTCCTGCATGCCTTTTTCTGGCTGCATCCCTGGCAGGTTCAGTGCAGTGCACGAGGTTAATCCTGTCCTGTTCCATGCACCATCCCTGTTTCCATAATTGTGTCACCAGTTAACAATATCCCTCAGGGATGCTTTGCTGCAGGTAGTGTGGCTGCTGCTGTGTTCAGAATCGCTGTCACTCTCATGCAGTGCAGGTTACACTGCACTGCAGGAACAAAATACAACTATTCGTGCCTTTAAGTCTAAAAGCAGGGCAAGAGAAAGAGTGAAATGACAGCAGTCTGAGTATGCAGTATACTGCATTTCTAATTGATTCTCTACCCTTCTTCCTCCTTCTGCTGTCATCATTCCTTTACTTAGAGATGCACATCTGTCCATTTTTTTTCCCCTTCACACAGAAACTAGGCCCATACCTGGTTAAAAAAAAAAATTCAAATTGAAACAAGCAGGGGAAAACTACTGAAGAGACAGAGCTGTTAATCGATACCATTTTCATTCAAAGAAAGAGATAATAATTCATGCTGGGAATATGAAAAACTGAACTGGAGGAATCCCAAGTATGAGATAACACAGCATTATCCCCCAGAAGCCCCCAGGGAATAGGTGAAAATACCTAATTGGTTTTTGGGGGTATTTTTTTGATCTCAGACACCTAAATTATCCGACTGCATCGTGTGAGCACATTCAGCAGATTGCTAACAGACCAGCCACGAAATCCTGCTGCACTTCACACTGTGCTCCAAAACTGAGCAGCCCAGTGAAATTAATGAGACAATTCTCGTCTCTCATGAGGTCAAGCCATTGCACAGGCATAGCCAGGGGGGAAAATGATCGTTGTGGAAAAAAACCAAAACAAACAGTGCCTGACGAGGTGGTTACACAACCGAGTGCTCCTGGCAAGGCCCCCACATCATTAGCTGTTATTAACTGTCTTGTGCAGAGGCATCAGCTCTCTCAGGAGCCAAGAGAGTGCTGAAGGGTTTACAGAAGCTCTTCAGTTGTACAGTAGATAAATCTGGAGGTGGCCTTGAAGAGTTCTCCTGCAGGCTCGAGTCTCAAGAACACAGCGCAGTGAGAGCTCGCCTTGTGGGGATTTGATTTTATTTTCCATTAAAAGGTCAAACTGGAGAGAGCAATGGGCTCAGAGCAGCTTTGCAGTGGGGCCCAGCTCGCTCACATCCTTGCCAAGGGAAGAAGAAGTTAATGGCCTGAGATAAGACCCTCGTCACAATGTTGTTTATTACATAAGGCTTCCATCGGGCTGGAGATAAGAACAGGAATTTGTCCCCAGTCCAGCTGGGTGGGGCAGCTGAGCTCATGGTGTGTGTTAGAATGGGAACCAACAGCAAGGGGTTCATTTGAGGTGCTTGTCCCACCATCAGAACTGCAATGAGCGAACTGATACTGACAGCTGATGGAAAAGTTCACTCTCTTTCTCATGGGAGCAATAGACCAACCTTTTTCTGACAGCAGTAGACTTAAAACTGTAATTTCTCTTCAAATTGCATTGGGAATGTTCATTGAGCCAAACTGCTACTCTGAAACCAGTACACCAATAGTTTCAGACCTCTTTAACAACCAAGAAACCAAAGCAGGAGGATGAACTGACTCACCTAAGACTACAGAGTAAGATCGGCTTCAGTTCTAAATTAGCAAACAAATCCCTTCAATCCTAATTTGTGTTCGTAATTCTTCTTGCAAAAAAAAGAGCATTTTCCTCATTCCAGATCACTTTGTTACAGATAAATCAGATCATGGATGAGTCTATCTGAGTTCCTGACTAATGTCTCACGACAACAAAACTGGTACCTCCTTCTATGAAAAAACAGTGGCCAAAAAGTGCTTTATTTGAATCATCTTCTTGCTGTTTATTTAATAAATTTATTTTTGCAGGTAAAATGATTAATGTAATGGGATATTCTTCATCTCCAGATGATAATGTTGTTTTTAAGTTTTGACTTCACATTAATAAAATTAATTTATAGAGTTTATATTAATCCTTGATAATTCAGCCTTGAGGAGACTGAGGGGAGGTCTCCTGGAACTTCCTCCTGAGGGGCAGCACCGATCTCTGCTCCCTGTGACAGGGACACAACCCAGGGAAGGGCTGGGGCTGTGCCAGGGCAGGGTCAGGTTGGATTTTGGGAAAGGCTCTTCCCCAGAGGGTGCTGGGCACTGCCCAGGCTCCCCAGGGATGGGCACAGCCCCGAGGCTGCCAGAGCTCCAGGAGGGTTTGGACAGCGCTCCAGGGATGCCAGGGTGGGATTTTGGGGCTGTGTAGGGCCAGGAGCTGGATTTGGATCATCCTTCCAACTCAGCATATTCCATTATTCTCTGAATTTTACTTATCTCAATTTTGTACTCTCGAAGTTTTCTCTTTCCCAGAAAAGTGCAACCTCAATCCTTACCTGCTCAGCACGGTTTGGGCTGATCTAACATCCTGTAACACTCATATATACGATTTCCTTTTTCCTTCTGTTTGTGATTCCTCACACAGGGCTGAGTTTTGTTTTAGCCTCTGGCTCCTGCCACAGCTCTTGCATTGGGAGCTTGGTGTAGGTGCTGTGCCTGGGTCATGAGCAGCACTGTTTGCCAAAGGTAAAGCTGGGTACACACACTCATCCTTCGGGCCAGCCGGGCTTCGTTCATCGATGGGGAATGTGCCGTGACTCTCAGGAAGGCGCAGCGCTTATTCACTTATTCCCCTTCTGCTACAGAGGTGTGTAAAAGCACAACCAAAAGCTGCCCCGTGGCTTTTGTTTGGGATGTTGTGAGGCAGGGCCCACCCCAGGCCATTTCCCCGGTGGTTTGATTTTATTCAGTTTGCAGGCTGGTGTGGTGGGGTGGGCTGGGAATGGAGTGAGCGCATTGCTCTGCAGGGCGTGTGCCCCCGATTATGTGTTGTGTTCTGCAGGGTGTGGCCTGGAGCCCTGAGCACCACTGCCGTTCAGGAAAAGGAAAAAACATTGCAGAGAATGAAGAGAAAAAAATGTTATAAAGCGTTTTCAAAATATAAATAACGGCGTTTGAGGAAATCTTGCTGCAGGAACAGGATGCGCGTGGAGGTGAAGAATTCAAATACAAGTGCTGTGCTAAGTATAATCAGTAATGAAAGCTCAGCCCTTCCTCTTAGGATTTGGATAAGCTACGTGTTGGCAGTACTTCCCAAATTCCAGGGAACAAAAAGCAAGCTTTAAATGTTGTCTTAAAGTCTCGTTGCAGTGTAGTTTGTTTATCATTACCACATGTAATATTGTCCATCTATTTTTGTGAGATTGGACTTCAAATGCACAAGAGAATAAATGAATATCTACTGAATTTACTGTGTAAGTTCCTTCTTTATTGAATAGCTACACTCTTTCCTTAGGAAGACATAACCTCTGTTCTTCCTGCTCAATAGGCAGAAGAAATAATCTGATTATTTTTCAGTCACAGGGATGGGCACAGCTGATGTGTACGAGTGTGGGGAATGGGGTCTGTACAGCCACAACTCTCCCTTGTCCTGTGACAGTGGGCAAATTCTCAGGGGAATCTGCCACTCTTAAAGCCTCTAGAAAATTTACCCTGCTTTTAATACAAACTGCCTGTTTTCAAGCCTGTTTCCTGGCACGTTTTGGATGCCAGGAATTTACTATGGGAAAGTTACAGCGAGCAGAACATTTTTTTGTATTTTTGTATTTAATTTCTTTTTCCACTGTGGAAATGAATGCCACAAGGAAGTTGCAGCCCCTGTCCCAGGCTTACCTCATGCTTTGTACAGCACCCCTGTGGTGGTGAGTGTTCATTGTGGTTCAGGAGACTGCAAACACCTGAGCAAAGGTCATGGCCAGAGGGAGATGCAAGTTAACAGTTAACTAGGGTGAAATCCTGGATAGAGGACTTTGAACACTAGGAGGGCCAGATCTCAAGGAGATTTGGGATTAGCACCAGAGGAGAGTTGAGGATTATACCTGATTCTCAGTGCTCTGTAGTGAGTTAAATGCTTTAAATTCCCTTTACACTGGAGAGGAATAGTTCAGGAC